GGCATGCATTTGTATTCAGCCCCCTTTACTCCGATACCCCTAACTAAAATCTAGTGGAACCAATTGCCTTCAGAAGTCAACTAATTAGTAAATAGAGTCCACCTGTGTGTCATGTGATCTCAGTATAAATATACACTGTTCTGTGAAGCCCTCAGAGGTTTGTTAGAGAACATTAGTGAACAAACAGCATCATGAAGGCCAAGGAACACACCAGACAGGTCAGGGATAAAGTTGTGGATAATTTTAAAGCAGGGTTAGGTTATAGAAAATCTCCCAAGCTTTGAACATCTCACAGAGAACTGTTCATTCCATCATCCAATAATGGAAAGAGTATGGCACAACTGCCAACCTACCAAGACATGGCCGTCCACCTAAACTGACAGGCCGGGCAAGGAGAGCATTCATCAGAGAAGCAGCCAAGAGGCCCATGGGAACTGTGGAGGAGCTGCAGAGATCCACAGCTCCGGTGGGATAATCTGTCCACAGGACAACTATTAGTTGTGCGCTCCACAAATCTGGCCTTTATGGAAGAGTGGCAAGAAGAAAGCCATTGTTGAAAGAAAGCCATAAGAAGTCCAGTTTGCAGTTTGCGAGAAGCCATGTGGGGGGGCACAGCAAACATGTGGAAGAAGGGGCTCTGGTCAGAGGAGACCAAAATTTAACTTTTTGGCCTAAAAGTAAAATGGTATGTGTGGGGGAAAACTAACACTTCCCATCACCCTGAACACACCATCCCCACTGTGAAACATGGGTGGTGGCAGTATCTTGTTGTGGGGATGCTTTTCTTCAGCAGGGACAGGGAAGCTGGTCAGAGTTATTGGGAAGATGGATGGAGAAGAAAACCTGTTAGAGTCTGCAAAAGACTTGAGACCGGTGCGGAGGTTCACCTTCCAACAGGACAATGACCAGAACATCCAGCCAGAGCTACAATGGAATGATTTAGATGAAAGCATATTCATGTGTTAGAATGGACCAGTCACAGTCCAGATCCAATGGGTCTCCATCCAATCTGACAGAGCTTGAGCGATTCTGCAAAGAAGAATGGGCAGAAATGTCCCTCTCTAGATGTGCAAAGCTGGTAGAGACATCCCCAAAAAGACTTGCAGCTGGAATTGCAGCCAATGGGGGTCCTACAAAGTATTGACTCCGGGGGGCTGAATACAAATGCACCCCACACTTTGCACAGATTTATTGGTCACAAATGTTGGAAACCATTTCTCATTTTCCTTCCACTTCACAATTATGTGCCACTTTGTGTCGGTCTATCACATAAAATCCCAATAAAAGACATTGACATTTTTGGTTGTAACATGACAACATGGGGAAAATCAGACAACTGCAATATAGTTTTCCCTAATGACATATCTGTAATTTGTGGTTTCCCAATATGATGGCAGATGTGCAACTCATGACACAAACTCTGACCTCTTTCTTGGGAAATACTTGGCATGTGTTATATTTCAACTGACAAAAGCCAATTAATTGGAATAAAATGCCCCTTTCTTTGGTGATCAATGGAAACATTGTCCCTTACATTGGTGATCAGTGGGAAGAATGTCCCTTACATTGGTGATCAGTGGGAAGAATGTCCCTTACATTGGGGGTCAGTGGGAAGAATGTCCCTTACATTGGAGGTCAGTGGGAAGAATGTCCCTTACATTGGTGGTCAGTGGGAAGAATGTCCCTTACATTGGTGGTCAGTGGGAAGAATGTCCCTTACATTGGGGGTCAGTGGGAAGAATGTCCCTTACACATTGGGGGTCAGTGGGAAGAATGTCCCTTACATTGGTGGTCAGTGGGAAGAATGTCCCTTACATTGGTGATCAGTGGGAAGAATGTCCCTTACATTGGGGGTCAGTGGGAAGAATGTCCCTTACATTGGAGGTCAGTGGGAAGAATGTTCCTTACATTGGTGGTCAGTGGGAAGAATGTCCCTTACATTGGTGGTCAGTGGGAAGAATGTCCCTTACATTGGGGGTCAGTGGGAAGAATGTCCCTTACATTGGGGGTCAGTGGGAAGAATGTCCCTTACATTGGTGGTCAGTGGGAAGAATGTCCCTTACATTCGTGATCAGTGGGAAGAATGTCCCTTACATTGGGGGTCAGTGGGAAGAATGTCCCTTACATTGGTGAACAGTGGGAAGAATGCTCCTTACATGGGGGGTCAGTGGGAAGAATGTCCCTTACATTGGGGGTCAGTGGGAAGAATACCCCTTACATTGGTGACCGGTGGGAAGAATGTCCCTTACATTGGTGATCGTGGGAAGAATGTCCCTTACATTGATGGTCAGTGGGAAGAATGTCCCTTACATTGGGGGTCAGTGGGAAGAATGCTCCTTACATTGGGAGTCAGTGGGAAGAATGTCCCTTACATTGGTGAACAGTGGGAAGAATGCTCCTTACATGGGGGGTCAGTGGGAAGAATGTCCCTTACATTGGGGGTCAGTGGGAAGAATACCCCTTACATTGGTGACCGGTGGGAAGAATGTCCCTTACATTGGTGATCGTGGGAAGAATGTCCCTTACATTGGGAGTCAGTGGGAAGAATACCCCTTACATTGGTGACCGGTGGGAAGAATGTCCCTTACATTGGTGATCAGTGGGAAGAATGTCCCTTACATTGATGGTCAGTGGGAAGAATGTCCCTTACATTGGGGGTCAGTGGGAAGAATGCTTCTTACATTGGTGATCAGTGGGAAGAATGCCCCTTACATTGGTGGTCAGTGGGAAGAATGCCCCTTACATTGGTGGTCAGTGGGAAGAATGTCCCTTACATTGGGGGTCAGTGGGAAGAATGTCCCTTACATTGGTGGTCAGTGGGAAGAATGCTCCTTACATTGGTGGTCAGTGGGAAGAATGTCCCTTACATTGGCGGTCAGTGGCAAGAATGTCCCTTACATTGGGGGTCAGTGGGAAGAATGTCCCTTACATTGGGGGTCAGTGGGAAGAATGCCCCTTACATTGGTGGTCAGTGGGAAGAATGTCCCTTACATTGGTGGTCAGTGGGAAGAATGTCCCTTACATTGGGGGTCAGTGGGAAGACTGTCCCTTACATTGGTAATCAGTGGGAAGAATATTCCTTACATTGGTGGTCAGTGTGAAGAATGCCCCCCTTACATCGGTCATGAAAATGCCAGTTTTACAGACTGCTAAAAAGAACCTTGGTGTCAGGCTGTTGGCTCTAGAGCGATATACGCACCATCTCATGAGAGGTCCTTTAGCCACAGCTCAATATTTGGAGGAACCCTGGTTGGTAAGGGCTGCTCTAGATGATCTACTTTAGTGTTTTCTGGAATACAGTGTATTTTAAGCCATAAATGGAAATCCAGCTCCAGCTCATTCTTTTGTTTAGTGTAAATGCTCCATTCATAGTTATAAATAAGCTCTGTCAGCATTATTCATTTCCACCCCAACATGTCCAGGTTGAATTGCACCTAGAGAACCAGAAGAACCTGGAAGACTGAGGACATCCTTTGAGTGCAATCAAAATGGCAGAGTTGTTTTAAAGCCCAACTCTAGGCTCTGCTTCCCACCCCCAGTGCTAACCCCTCCATCCTGGATGCAAATACAGAATCTGTATGTGGGTATGAAACAATTCCAGACTATTTACATCCTTGAGGACAATAGGTGCAGGAACTCCCCAAACCCTTCTGATCCACCTCTTGTCTCCACCCCCTACCCAACTCCAAGGACTGTCCCTTTTAGAGAATATAGAACAAAGTATGATTTTGTGGTGCTAAGTAAGTTGTATGGAATTTGTTAGTGATAAAAAGAAAAGCAGTAAAATAGATCCCCCACAGCTGCAATAGACCCCCCCCCCACAGGGCACCAATGGGCCCCTACAGCAAAATACAACCCCAACAACAGTAGATCTCCCAGCAGCCAGCATCAATGGACTCTCCAGCAGTCAGCAACAATAGACCCTTCAGCACACCCTAGGACCCCATGCCATTACATACATTCAGTGCTGGAGGTGCTGGAGGTGCCGGAACTGCGTTCCCCAATGTTCCCACTGAAAAAAAGCCCTGCTTGAGGGGAAGTAAGGGGTAGGAGATCAATAAATAAGGCAGTGTACAGGTAGTAATGCATTAATGAATCTACATTATCACCATCATCACAAGTGGAGGCAAAGTCGAACCATTTGTCCCAAATTGTATGATATTTAGCAGGACATTTTCTGTGTATGTAGATTGCTTTCATGTAAGGTAGTTGACTGAGAGCTTCATGGAATGGGTTCCCATGGCCACACAGATACATCACCAAGTGCAATGCAAAGCGTCAGAAGCCGCGGTGTAAAGCACGCCACCACAGGACACTAGAGCAGTGTAGCCGTGTTCTCTGGTGTGGCCAGTCACGCTGGCAATCCAATGGACGTGTCTGGGTTTGGTGGTTGCCAGGAGAACGGTACTTGCCTGACTGCATTGTGCCAAGTGTAAAGTTTGGTGGAGGGGGGATTATGGTGTGGGGTTGTTTTATGGGGGGTTGGGCTTGGCCCCTTAGTTCCAGTGAAGGGAACTTTTTTTAATCCTCCAGGGGGCCCTGGAGTAGGACTTTATGAATGAAGACTATGACCAGGGGCGGACTGACAACTCATGGGGCCCCCGGGCAATAGGGGAACATGGGGCCCCTGTGTCCTTGATCAAACTCAAAAAAGCCTATACAAAAGGTGCCAGGGGCATCTCATGGGGCCCCCTACTGACCCTGGGCCCTCAGGCAGTGCCGGAGTTTCCAAGTGGTCAATCCGCCCTTGACTCTGACTATGAGGCATGCTCAGTTGGTGATTTCATGACTAAAATAGGAACCGTCTGCTCTGCCCCACAGCAGTTTTAAACTTTCATTTTAATCTTTACAGGATTTCAAGATGATAAATGTGACCGAGGACTCAGCGCCTGCCGAGCATCCAATCAACCCTCCAGTGTTCACCATCCTAGTCATGGTGGTCACCTTTCTTCTTGGAGTCCCCTGGGAACTTGATTGTAATTTGGATCACCTCTTGGAAAATGAAATGGACGGTGAACACCATCTGGTTTTGGAACCTTGCTTTGGCCGATGTAACCTGCTGTCTTTTTATACCATTGTCCATTGCTCAGTTCTTCTACGAGGACTGGCTGTATGGCCCTGCTCTCTGCAAAGTTTTACCTGTCATCGTCCACCTTACCATGTTTGCCAGCGTTTTCACCCTGGTGGCCATTAGTGTTGACCGATGCCTCTTAGTTGTCCAACCCGTGTGGGCTCAAAATAAGCGCAACCTTCGAATGGCGTGGGTCCTATGCGTGGTTATTTGGATGTTGTCCTTCTTGATGTGTCTACCTGCTGTCCTGCACCGAAAGACCGTCTCATCTCATAACATTACTTATTGTAATTATGAAACTGATAATCACCTACACTTCAATGTTGATCATGTGGCTAACAACACATATGAAGACTATGACTATGATTCATTCTATTCAAACTTTTCTTCATCAAATTATAATACAGAAGAGGACCCCACCATGGACAGCCAATTTCAGTCTTTGCAAGTTAAAATTACTTACACACGCATGGTTTTTGGTTTTCTGATCCTCTCTTAATTGTTTCCACCAGCTACATCCTCCTGGCTTCTAAGGTTAAAAATACCCGACTTTTGAAGGTCGGCAGAAAGACCACCAAGGTAGCTCTTGGCATTGTAGTTGCATTTTTTGCCACATGGGCCCCCTACCACATAGTAGGTGTGCTCTCGCTATACTTTCAAGATCAGTTTTTGGAAAGACTGGACGATCTATCAGTGGCCTTGGCCTACTTCAACAGCTGTATCAACCCTATAATCTATGTCTTCTTGGGGAAAAATATGAAGAGCAGGGTGCAACAGTCTATTCGAAGGATCATGCAAAATGCCCTCAGCGAAGAGGGCTCTAGAAGTACCGAGCGCACCAGGAGCAAACTCACAACAGAAGATAGCAGGGCTGTCTGAGCTCCATTACCAATTAATATTTTAATACTTTAACACAGCTGCTTTTCCATCTGTAGTGCTCTATAGAAGCTTCTGGTTTGCCTCAGGTTCTTTTCCCAAATTGGTGCAACAACAGCCAGGCACACAGCAGTGTTCACTCTTCTGGCTCAATGAACAGTCTAGGAGTTTATATTTTTTTACATTTATTGCTGAATAACTGGGGTAGGGCTCAGGGGGCTGAGTGTTGCTCCAGGAACACAGAAAAGCAATCGCTAGTGCTTAGGACAGTCCTAACAATAGTCCAGGAATAGAGGACAGCCCTGGGCACCATCAAAAATGTCCAAGGCCAGGCGAGCACTAGTTTGGATGCAGCTGCAAAGGTCCTCTGGGTCCTACACTCAGGCGTGTACAATGTCCTAGATATTTTGATGCCCCCTTCCAATATCAGCCAGACATTTCTTCAGTGAACCCTCCAAACCGAATCCTCATTGAAATAGCTTCAGAGATTCTTAGTGGAACAGGCACCCCCCAGCTCTGCCACAGCTGGAACCACAATGAACACATCTAGAAATACAGCTGCGATGCCCAAAAGGGCAGCAGCCCTTCAGGCTGGGAACTTCTCCTCCTGGACAAGAATAGGGCTGCCTTAGGCTCCAAGCTATGATAACAACAAGAATGTCTCCTGTGCAATAGTGTGATAGTCCAGTATTAGGAGGGGACTTTCCGTCACTGGGATATTGCTTCTGGCCTTGCAGCTCTCTAGGACGGGGGGTGTCCTGAAGCCACTACAAGAAATGAAAAGAGGGTGCACCAGCCTAGTGCATTGACCCAAAGCTTTTAATAGACATCATCATAAAATAGACTCACAAACATGTAGATAAAAAATTGCTCATTGAGCTACTCATCCGTACCCAGTAGTCACAGAATCAATGCGGGGGACCTCACCAGGGTCCAAAATGGCCGACATTTTTAGAAGGAAACACCTTCTTCTTCTGAGCCAAATCAGCAGTTTGAATATTTGTTGTCTCAGCCAAACCCTGGGGGAGGGTGCCCAGAAGGTGGTTGGAGGAGTGCATAAATAGCATGGAATGAAAAGACGAGGGCATACCAGCCTAGTGCATTATCCCAAAGCTTTAAATAGAAATCATCATTAAAATACACTCACAAACATACAGAAAAAATTGCTAAGTGAGCAACTCATCCGTAGCCCAGCAGTCAAAGACTCAATGCGGGGGGGGGGACCTCATCAGGGTCCAAAATGGCTGATGGGTTTCGAAGGAAACATCTTTTTCAGAGCCACATACTAAGCGTTCCTTCAACCAAATATTTACACTCTCCTTACATGACATGAGAACCTAGAGCACCTCCCCCCCATAGTGGGACAAGGAAAAGGGGGGAGTTGACCCGCCCAAAAAATAAGCATGATGTAAACTGTGCTCTGCTCCGGAGTTTGCCTTCTTATGTGTTTTATGTGTTTTTAGTCTATGAGTTTACATCATGCTTATTTTTGGGCTGGTCACCTCCCCCCTTTGCCGTGTCCCCTCCCACTATGGGGGTGGTTCTTTAGGTCCTCATGTCATGTAAGAAAGAGAGTGTATATATTTGTTTGAAGGAACTCTTAGTATGTGGCTTTGAAGAAGAAGATGTTTCCTTTGAAACCCATCAGCCATTTTGGACCCTGGTGAGGTCCCTAGCATTGAGTCTGTGACTGCTGGGCTACGGATGAGTAGCTTGATTAGTTGACTGGTTGCCTTCCCCCTTTGCCATTTCCCCTCCCACTATGGGGGTGGTTCTCTAGGTCCTCATTTGGTGTAAGAAAGAGAATATATATATTTGTTTGAAGGAACTCTTAGTATTTGGCTTTGAAGAAGATGTTTCCTTCTCAATCCATCAGCCATTTTGGACCCTGGTGAGGTCCCTAGCATTGAGTCTGTGACTGATGGGCTATGGATCAGTAGCTTGATTAGTTGACTGACGCCTCCCCCCTCTCTTAGTATGTGGCTTTGAAGAAGATTTAAAACTTTGGGATAAAGCACTAGGCTGGTTTGCCCTCTTCTTTTCATTCCAAGCTATTTATGCACTCCTCCAGCCACCTTCTGGGCACCCTCCCCCAGGGATTGGCTGAGACAACAAATATTCAAACTGCTGATTTGGCTCTAAAGAATAAGGTGTTTCCTTCTAAAAGCGTCAGCCATTTTGGACCCTGGTGAGGTCCCTAGCATTGAGTCTGTGACTGCTGGGCTACGGATGAGTAGCTTGATTCGTTGACTGATGCCTCCCCCCCTTTGCCGTGTCCCCTCCCACTATGGGGGTGGTTCTCTAGGTCCTCATGTCATGTAAGAAAGAGAGTGTATATATTTCTTTGGAGGAACTCTTAGTATGTGGCTTTGAAGAAGAAGATTTAAAGCTTTGGGATAATGCACTAGGCTGGTATGCCCCTCTTCTTCTCATTCCAAGCTATTTATGCACTCCTCCAGCCACCTTCTGGGCACCCTCCCCCAGGGATTGGCTGAGACAACAAATATTCAAACTGCTAATTTGGCTCTAAAGAAAAAGGTGTTTCCTTCTAAAAGCATCAGCCATTTTGGACCGTAGTGAGGTCCCCCGCATTGAGTCTGTGACTGCTGGGCTATGGATGAGTAGCTTGATTAGCAACTTTTTTTATGTTTGTGAGTATATGTTAATGATGATTTCTATTTAAAGCTTTGGTATAATGCGCTAGGCTGGTATGACCTCTTCTTTTCATTCCAAACTATTTATGCACTCCTCCTGCCACCTTCTGGGCACTCTGCCCCAGGGTGCCAAGAAGGTGACGATTTGCCTCCTCCCATCTCACTATATTCTGGAATCCTCTTGAAAACATGGGGACGCAATCAAACCTTCAGCCCATAACAGCCCAAAGCATCAAAATCTGCTTCACTACATTTACTTAGCTTTACTATCAACCAGGGGCGGACTGACCATATGGAAACTCGGGCACTGCCCGAGGGCCCGGGATCAGTAGGGGGCCCCATGAGATGCCCGTGGTACCTTTTTCATAGGCTTTTTGGAGTTTGGGCAACGACACAGGGGCCCCATGATCCCCTATTGCCCGGGGGCCCCATGAGTTGTCAGTCTGCCCCTGCTATCAACCCATCAAGGAGGGTGCTACACATCTGAAAACGCCCCTTGCCAGCCTTGCGCAGACTAATATTTGTGCATAACAAGCTGCACATGTGCAGAAACTGGGGGAGTACAGAATATTATATAATTATCAGAATGGCTACCTATTGGAAAGACATTATAAAATACAAAATCTGACCATCTTTGAAGTTAGTTGGGTTGGCTGAGGTTCATTTATAACGGTCATATGGACTTCACTATGAAAAATTAGATTTCCAATTTCTGGACTTGCCAAATTTTTTTTTTTCCGGAACTCTGCTTGACCTCCACCTAAACACCTAAAAAAGTTGCACATAGGACAAAGTTCAGTAGCCGGTGCAGGCATCACCACCATATGATTGCTGTGGAATTGTAACCAACCTGCAGGAGCCTGAGGCCTACAGAAAGATTGCCGACCACCACGTGCAGTAGGTGTCAACGTGACCTTGTTCTAGATCATTTGAAACTGCAAGCTTCCTGGAAAAGGAGATAAATACTTATCTAGGATGCCAATCTTTACTCTCTCGTAGAGCTCCAGGTGCAGCTTCGGCATGTGGTAGATAGCATGTCCACCACTGGACACTGTGGCTCCTGCCGCCAGGGCCGGGACAAGGGGTGGGCAGGAGGGGCGGCTGCCCTGGTCACGATGGGGATTTGGAGGGTTGTGCAAGAAGGGGTTATTTGGAGGGGGTTTTGTACTCGGAGGGTGGATTTTTGTTAGAAAGAAGGATTTTGGAGGAAGGATTTGTACTAGTAGGGATGATTGGGAGGATTTGTGCTAGGAGGGGGAATTGGGGGGGTGGATTAATGCTTGGAGAGAGGATTTGGGGGGATTTATGCTAGGAGAGGAAATTTGAAATTGGAGGGAGGATTAGTGCTTGGAGACGGGATTTGTGCTAGGAGGGGAAATTGGGGGGGGGGGGTTAATGCTTGGAGAGGGGATTTGGGGGATTTGTGCTAGGAGGGGAGATTTGAAATGGGGGGGGAATTAGTGCTTGGAGATGGGATTTGTGCTAGCAGGGGACATTGGGGGGGGATTAGTGTTTGGAGAGAGGATTTGGGGGGATTTGTGCTAGGAGGGGAGATTTGAAATGGGGGGGGGGGAATTAGTGCTTGGAGATGGGATTTTGGCTAGCAGGGGAAATTGGGGGGGATTAGTGTTTGGAGAGGGGATTTGGGGGGATTTGTGCTAGGAGGGGAAATGGGGGGGGATTAGTACTGTGAGAGGGGATTTGGGGGGATTTGTGCTAGGAGGGGAAATTGGGGAGGGGGGAATTAGTGCTTGGAGAGGGGATTTGGGGGGATTTGTGCTGGGAGAGGTTTTATGCTCAGAGGTGAAATTTGAGGGGTAGAGGATTTGTGCTAGGAGGGGAGATTTGGGGGGGGGGGGGGGTTAGTGCTTGGAGAGTGGATTTGTGGGGATTTGTGCTAGGATGGTAAATTGGGGGGGGGGGGGGGCAGGGGCGGGCTGATTATTTGGAAACTTGGGGCACTGCCCGAGGGCCCGGGGTCAGTAGGGGGCCCCATGAGATGCCCCTGGTACCTTTTTCATAGGCTTTTTTGAGTTTGGGCAAGGACACAGGGGCCCCATGATCCCCTATTGCCCGGGGGCCCCATGAGTTGTCAGTCCGCCCCTGGGGGGGGGCGGGATTAGTGTTTGGAGAGGGGATTTGGGGGGATTTGTGCTGGGAGAGGTTTTATGCTGAGAGGGGAAATTTGAGGGGTAGAAGATTTCATACTAGGAGGGGAGATCTGTGGAGGGAGTGGATCTGAGCTGGGAGGGAGGATTTGTATTGAACGAGGGTGAATTTTTTATTAAGGAATAATTTTCACTTGCAAGGGGAAGTTTCTGCTTAGGGGATAATTGTGAAAAGATTAGT